AACCCCCTTCCCCTCCCCCTTTTCTGATGAAGGGTCTAGGCCCGAAACGTCAGCCTCTCTGCTCCTATGATGCTGCTTGGCCTGCTGTGTTCATCCAGCCCTGCACCTTGTTGTCTCGCATTCTCCAGCATCTGCAGTTCCTACTATCTCTGATTCAACAATAAAGTAGAGATGGCTGAGTAGGCAATTTGTTACAGCTTTATTATTTGGGAACTGGAGGATGCTGGTGCGATCCACAATGAATATAACCCTCACACCAAGTATTCAAACAACTTTGGCCTCAGCAGCCCAGATGCTGTAAAACATTAGGAAGGGGGAGAGTTAGTCATAGTCAGACTCTTCAGTTATCTGGACACACTGGCAGTCTTAGATAATTAGATCAAATTTCATCTGTGGTCAAGAACAGGAAGTGTGTTATTGGAAGTAAGGCAGGTATTGCTATCCAAGATATAGCTTTGAAGGAGCCCCAGCCAGGGCCTTTGATCAGTAGATATGAGCCCCCAAAGAAATTCTTGCTGCTGAGGGTAAGGGCATGAACAGTAGTAACAATGAACAAACTGACCAAAGCATAGTGGCCCAGAGCACCATTGAAGTAGATGGTGAAAGGAGCAATGTAGTAGCAATAAGTGGTAGCACGATTAGGATAATAGATACTGTTCTCTGCAGCAAAGACAAAGTCCCAAAGGCTGTGTTGCCTACCAAGTGCTAAGGGTCAGGACATCTCTTCTAGAGTTAAAGTTGGAAGGGAAAGATCCAGTTGATGCAGTCTGCATAGGTACAGACAACCTACCTAGACTAGGAAGGAGACTCTCCTGAGAAGTTACAAGCAGCTTGGGGAAAATTATAAAGCAGAACTGTAAAGGCAGTTACCTCATGATTACTACCTGAACCACATGCAAATTAGCATCGGGTAAATAAAGCCAGAGAGAAAAATCCTTGGCTCAAAGATTGCTGTAGGAGGTATAGTTTCTGACTCCTGGAGCATGAGTTCTGGAGAAAATTCTGCTCCATTAAGATGGACTTCTCTTGAACCATTTTGGGAGCAATGCCCCAACAAATAATAGAATTAGGGATGTAGTAAGGGTTTTAAACTAAATAGTGGAGGAAAGAGGTTCAGTTCAAGGGAAGTTCTTTTTATAAAAAAAAAAAAAAAATCAGATGAGAGCAGGGGTACACGAGTGTAGAGGCAAGTGATAATCAAAGTGACAGGAAGGGGCAGAAATATAAGCAGAAGAGTGCAGCAGAAGTTGGAATTAGAATAGGTAATAATGGTAAATGTTCAAGGTTTAAAGCTCTTTATTTGAATGCAGCTGTAACAAGATTGATAAGTTAATGGCACAAATAGTACTAAATGTTTATGACTTGATAGTTTTAGCAACGTGACTGCAGGATGATTAGAGCTGGGGAGTCAATATTTAAGGGCGTTAGACATTATGCAAAATAGGCAAAAAGTAAAAGAGGGTAAAGTAGCTTTGTTAATAAAGGACAGTATGGGTATGGCAGTGAGTAGGTGCATTAGTAGTGATTTTAGGTGTAATAGATCTTGATGTGGAATCGGTTTGGACAGAAATGAGGAATACTAAGGGAAAGAACTCCTAGGAGGAATCACCCCTGAGCCCCCAAAAGGTTGACTCACTGTAGGACAAGGTATAAATCAGGAAATAATTGAGAGGTGTAAGAAAGGCACTGCAATCGTCGTGAGTGATATTGCCTGGATAAATTAAATGGGGCAATGGTAACATGAAGATGAATTTGTAGGGTGCATCAGAGATTGTTTGTTTCGTTCTTTCATTATTTGTTTGTTTCATTCTTTCATCGTTCGTTCTTGAGTACCTGGCAGAAGCTATCTTGGATCTAGTGTAATGTGTAATGAATTAGAGTTGATAAGAGATCTTTTAATCAGACCTCATGAAGGATGTAGTATTTACGGTGTGGTAGAATTTTAAATTTAGTTTGAGAGAAAGCGCAAATCAGTATCCTTGACTTAAATAAGGAGAATTACATAGTTTTTGAAGGGCTGCCCTGAACACACTGGGAAAGGGGAAGATCAATAGATGAGCAACACACGTTTAAGCAGATAGTTCATATCACTTAACAAAAAATTATGCTGATCTAAAAGTGGACTTGATGAGAAGACTGATCCACCATGGTTAATGGAGGCAGTCAAGGAAAGTATACAGTCCAATTTTCTAAGGCATACAAAGCAGTGAAATCTACTGGTAGGCCAGAGGATTAAATATTTTTTAAGGAGCCAGCAATAGATCACTAAAATGCTAACAAAAGGGAAAATTGATTATGAAGGTAAATGAGCAAGAAATATAAATACAAACACCAAGAGCTTCTAGAGCTATATCTAAAGATATAGTAACTAAAGTGAGTATGGTGTCCTTGGAGGATAACTGGGGAACTAATAATGGAGATTGGAAATGGCAGATAATGTAACCAAATATTTTGCATTGCTTTTCAAAGCAGCCAAACAGATTAAAACTTTTATTCATTAGCGTTTAGAAGAATGACGGGTGTGCTATTGAAATAAAGAAGATTTTGAGGGGTCTTTAGAGGCTTGTTGTTGAAATGGTTTTCTAACAGGCAAATTTGAAGCTAATTGACATTGTTACAGAATGAGAGGACATGCATTTTAAACTAGGAAGTGGAGGAGTTCCTGCTCTCTGAGAAGCGTGAATGTCTGGAATTCTCTACACCAGAGAGTTGTGGATGCCATCAAATTACCGTGGTTGTTGAACCAAATTTAGAATTTGCATTTGTGGGCTTTGAATTTCATTCTATCAAAGTCATTTCCAATTTATTTTGCCTGTAATGAAATGAAGTTTTTAATTTGCTTTCTTCTAAAAATTAACAAAGTTCTATTTTGAAGGTGAGGGAAAGTGGCAGAATAAGTATTCCTGATGTGTTTCAGTTATTTTTGTCATCTTTTATCTATAGGTATTCTTCTCAACCTCATGAAGTTGTGCTTGACTGTGGACCATATGAGGATAAAAGTGGACTATATGAAAAACTTTTAAAGGAGTTGGATGAAGCACTTAATTTTATTAATGATTTTAATAACATGTCTGCACATTGGGATGATAGAGGCCCAACATCAGTCCCTAAACAGGTAAATATTGAACTGTGTCTGGCATATGCCTTTATAATACAGTCCAAAGTTTATTGTTTATAAAGAATCAACTTATAATTTCTGTTGAGCAGCAATGCTGATGTCATTACTGCAGATTCCAGTGAAATATCTGCTTGAAATTTCTTAGGTTACTGAGGCCTCAGTTTTTTACAGAGCATTGCTCAGTACTCGAAAGTGAAAATCTGACATATCATAGGGCATCAGCTTTTACCCATAATTCAAGATGCATCAATTTTTGTAATGATGAAAGGGGCGCCAACAGAAAATAACTGATTCTATGTCCTAAAATAGTACTGAGTTAGATGTTACCTTCTGTCTCCATGTTCACAATCCAAAAATGTTTCTAATTATGGAGCTGAGTGTTATACTGAGAATTTTCAGAAGTAGAAAGATTTAGTTTTGAGATGGTGAGCTATCTAGGTCTTTGGTGATTCCACTTTTCTTATTTCAAAATTCATTTTTCAATTTTCAATTTTCAAGATTTAAAACTGCCCTACTTCTATATAGTGTTTTGATTTTTTTTTCTGTAATGCTTTCTATTTAAAGCAGACAGTGAAAGATCAGCTTTCCCAATTAATCCTTGTCTGCCCCTTTAATTCCTATAGGTACTGGTAGACTGCCGTGCAGTATTAACCGTTCTGGGGCCTTGGTGTGCAGATAAAGTAGCTGGGATGATGGTAAGAGAGCTTCAGAAATATATAAAGCATGAGCAGGAGGAGTTGAACAGAAAGTTCCTTTTGTTTACAGACACTCTTCTTAGGAAAATTCATGCACTCTGTGAAGAGCACTTCTCACCTGCTGCACTCGATCTGAAATATGTAACCCCAAAAGTCAGTAAATTGCTGGAAATCCTGCACGAGTACAAACCTTTTGAACGGCAGCAGTTTGAAAGTGTTGAATGGTACAACAACAGAAACCAGGACAATTATGTATCATGGAGTGATTCTGAAGATGAGGACGAGGATGAAGAAATAGAGGAAAAGGAGAAGACTGACACTAACTTCCCATCCCCTTTCACCAATATATTGTGTGGGATTATTTTTGTTGAGAGACGCTATACAGCTGTTGTCTTAAACAGGTAAGAGATGATAGAGTGTGGCTAAGGCATCGCTGAAACTTTTGTGTAAAATTTTTTGTGCTGTTTTAAAAAGGGAATTTATAATTCAGTGTTAATATGACTAATGAGCTAGGAATTGGTGTGTCTTCATGAAAAAAGTTTGTGAAGGTTTGCCTCTTTCTGAAGATAAGGTATCAAACACCACTGTGGTAACTGGTGAAATTTAAATTACAGGAAGGTGGAATATAAAGCTTATCTAACTGATGGTGGCCAGGACAGCTATCAGTAATTGTTATAAAAACTCATCTGCTTCACTAATGCCCTTCAGGAAGGAAATTCTCCTTACTCAGTCAAACTTAACTTTTGACTCCAGGCCACAGCAATGTGGTTGAAGTTTAACTATCCTCTGAGGCAAATCAAGCCACTCAGTTCGAGATGGGCAACAAATGCAGCCTTGCCAGAGATGCCCGTATCCCATAAAATAATTTTTTTAGAATGCAGAAGATTTTATATCCAGAATTCACAAAATACATAAAAGACAACTGGCCTATCTAAACTTATCCATCCAGAAATATTCTAAAGCTTTCCCCAACCCCTCATTGTAGTTTTAACTGTTAATACTTACAGCATTTTAACCTCTGCTGTTCTTTCTAGAAATTCGTTCTCATTGATCGGTCATTATGTTGTTGTATTTTCTGGCAATAATCTAAATGTACCTGTTACTTTCTTGAACCTGTGTCCCTTTGTCCTACCCTAGCAACTTAATTTAAAGTGATAATTTGAACAACCTGTTCAATTCCTGCAGATTTTTGTAGACCTTTCCAAAATCACCACTTTAATATTACCCGCCTAGGTTAAAGAGCAAGCTTCTCCAAACTTTCATTTGTGTATCAAGGCCAGAATAAGAACTCTTATGCAAAATTTACTGTGGTCAAACCACAAGACAGCTTGATCACAACTCCCTCTGATATGTTCAATACACATTCTACTGGATTTAATAATTGTTGCAGTGTTGAACATATTGAACAACACTAAGATTCCTAGGTTACTCTCAACTTCCTCCTTAATGATTTTATCAACGTATGTGTAGTTAACTAGAACATTAACTGTAAGAGTATAGAGGCTTAGAATTTTGCCAGCTCCCTGTGGCTTTGACATCACTTGGAAATTAAAAAGACCATTTCACCCCAGACCATATCTTGAGAAGAGAAAATGATTCTGGCCGTTTCACTGAAAAATAGAGTGGGGTAGATATTTTCAGAGGTAGACGAGGAGGTGGGCAGGTGGTTATTACTGACTTCAATAAAATTATTCTCTGCTAAAGTTTTAGCTTTGCCGTGGCTGTTCTTCCCTTTCACTTTCCATTGTTGTCCTCTTCCTTGCCCCGCCTGTTTTATGGAGTTTAAGTTGAGTTGATTATTTTGCTTCAGGTTAATAAAAGAAGCAGGCAAGCAGGATCCAGAGTTGTCTTATGTCAGCAGTAATTTCATAACTGGTCATGGCATTGGAAAGAACCAGCCTCGTAATAAACAGATGGAAGTGGAGTTCAGGAAACAAGAAGAGGTAAAAGCATCTCACTACTTTTGTGCAAAGAAACAATCTAACATTGAAGACCATATTGGCTTCTGGCTTCTTCACTTGGTCATTCTCTTAGTTAAAGCTGCAAATTTAAAATCATTTTGCTTGTTCCTGAATAAATTCTACAAGAATGTTGAATAGTTGTTTCTTTGGAAGCTCAATGGGTAATTCTAGCAGATAAATAAGTGTATTTGCATAAAGTCTTTGAGAAGATTTGTAGCTCGAGTTGTGGATGAGGTTGTAGACTTGCTTACTGAGCCAGTGTGTTTGATTGCAAAAGTATAGTCACCCTGCTAGGTAACATCATCAGTATGCCTCCGGTGAAGTGCCTCAGTTTGCTGGGGTGGTTGGCATTATTTCCAGTTCTGTTTTTGTGATTTGTACATTGGCTCTAGCTCAGTGCGTTTGTTGATGGAGTTCTGATTGGAATGCCAGGCCTCCAGGAATTCCCTGGCATGTCTCAGTTTGGCTTGCGCTATTGTGGATGTGTTGTCCCAGTCGAACTCGTGAACTTCTTTTTCCGTGTGTATTGAGACCAGTAAGAACTGGTCGTGTCTCTTGGTGACTAGTTGGTGTTTGTGTATCCTTATTGTTAGTTTTCTTTTCATTTGGCCTATGCAATGTTTCTCACAGTCTTTGCATGGTATTTTGTATGTTACATTAGTTTTATTAGTGGTGAGTATGGCATCCTGTATGTTTGTCAGTAGCTGTCACAGGGTGGTTGTTGATTTGTGGGCTACCCTGATACCTAGGGGCCTGAGTAGTCTTGTGATCATCTCTGATATGTCTCTGATGTATGGTAGGGCAAGTCGTGTGTCTGGCCGTATTGTGTCATCTTGTTGTGGTCTGTCGTGGAAGTATCCATTTCTTTGAAAAACTCCATTTTTGGATATCTATTTCTTTTAAGAAAAACTCCATAAGTGCTCCTGTTCTGCTTTGCAATTCCAGGTTGCTGCAGTGTGTTGTGGCTTATTTGAATAATGTCCTAATACAGCTCTGTTTGTGGGTGCAGAGGTGGTTCCTGGTATAATTAAGTATCTGGTCCATATGTGTGGTCTTTCTTTCTACGCTTGTATGGAGTTCCCCGTTGTTCTTGCGTTCTGCCATAATGTCTAGGAAGGGTAATTGGTAATTGTTCTCTTCTTTTGTGAATTTTATTCTGTTGAGGTTGTTTTGTCAGTGAGTTTCTTCTAGTCTTGTGCATTTGATAATCACAAAGGTATCATCTACATAGTGGACCCAGAGTCTGTGTTGCATAGTGGGGAACACTGTCCGTTCCATAAATGGAGCTGCATCAGGATGTCATTCAAACGAGCCACAATACACTGCAGTAACCTGGAATTGCTCAAAGCCGAACGGGAGCACTTATACAGAGGTTTTAAAAAGGAAAGGAATGAACAAGCACAATCAGAACTGAGGAAAGTCACCTGACCTGAAACATTAACTCTGATTTTTTTTCTTCTCAAATGCTGCTGAGCTTTTCCAGCAACTTCTGTTTTTGTGCAATCTTGAAGATCATCTGTGGTGATGCTGTGGTGCAACTCCAAATTATAAATGCCTATTTGGTCACCCAGTTGTTGGTGCTAATGTTCATGGAGCAGGGCTTTTAATATCTGAGTTGTAATCAGAAATCCTGACCAGATTTCTTAATCTTCTTTCAAAGGATGCGTTGATGCACACTGTTGCTAAGTATCTATTGGCTACTTGACAAGTCAAAATTAGTGCAAAATTTTAGCAAAGCCTAATGGTATATGCAGTCATTTTCCAAATACAAACAAGGAATGAAAGTAGGTCAGTAGGCTCTTTGAGCCTGCTCCGCCATTCATTAAGATCATGGCTAATCTGATTTTAACCTCAACTCTACAATCCTGCGTATCGCTGATCTCTCCTCTTGGTGAAGAAGAATCTACCTATCTTTGCCTTAAAAATATTTAAGGATTCTGAATCCATTGCCTTTTGTGGAGGGGAATTCAAAGACACTCAATATTTCCTCATCCCTGTTTTAAATAGGCAGCACCCCCTATTTTTAAACTGTGACCCCTAGTTCTAGATTATCCCAAAGCAGGATGCATCCTTTCAACATTCATCTGAACCAGTCCCCTCAGGATCTCTATGTTTCAATTTGATCGCCTTTGACTCTTCTAAACTCAACTATACATGCCTAGCCTGTCTGGCCTTACATCATGAAATAATTTGCTCATTCCAGGTAACATCTAGTGAACCTTCTCTGAATTGCTTCCAGCGCATTAACATCCTACTATAAGTA